AACACAACACCCATAATGAATGCCAACCACTAAGATATGGCAATTGTCTCCTAACTAGGCTGGAAACTTTAGGTGGGTCAGCATGAGATGTAATTTCAAGATGCTAACACGCTCATTTAATCCATGGTAGCTTCTCTAAAGCTTGGACCTGCTGGGTCTGGCTCATTTCTGCTGTTTGACTCTGGGCATGTTACTTAGGCTTTTATTTATTTATTTATTTTTGCCTCAGCCCCCATATTGATAATATGGATATGTACTAGGACCTTTGACACAGGATATGTGGGAATTAAATGAGCTAGTTTTTGTAGCCTTTATAACGGTTTTAGGAATATAGTGCATTCTCAATGAATATTGGTCATGTTCATAGGACAGAGAGAGAGAGAGATTTGTATGCACCAGAAATTGTAATCCACATGCATGCTATATATATTCTGTATGTAACCTGTTTTTCCCATATTTTCTTTATTTATTCTATTTAACTATTAATCATACACTATCTGTATTCTCCTTTGCAAAATGATTTACTAACAGCCTTTTTTTAAAAATTAATTTCTATTTTTTTCTCTATTAAGTAAAACCAGTTCATTGTAAATGTAGGCAATAATTTATTCAAATTTACCCATTAGTGAACAAAATTCAGGCTTATTTTGGGAATAAGAGTACAAAAGAAGTTTTCAAAGAATTAAAAGCTATGGAGTAAAGGCAAAAAATGAAGACTTCTCCTATTTTTAAATGGATTCGTGCCTTTCTTTGCTTTCCTTAAATGGGGATGGGTGTTCTTTGGACAAGCAACTGATCCAAAAATCCACTTTTAAGTCTATATACTTCAATGTCTGTAATAGCTTTGTCTAATATAACTGAAAAATAATATTGCCTATCAGCATCAGATCTGTAATGTGTCCTGCAGAGATTATTATCTTCTTGATATGGTATCAATATGTTACACTTAAAATAAAAATAAAAAAAAACCTTTCTTTGGATTTCCTAGTAAAACTGTAAAATGGGATAGATTTAGCCTTCTAAATCTAAATGGGGTAGACTTAGAAGCATATTCAAGAAGGACTTTCATTTTCAAGTATTTGGCAATTCATCATGCAATTTATTGAATTTACTCCTCAAGTCTAAGTAGCTTATTTTAATTGTCTTCTAGTTCATGACTTGTTATTAGATATGATATTGTATACTATCATTACTACAATATAATGTATTCATCAATATTGATTCATCAACATCAATAACCTGCATGTCACATATGACTTTATGATGTTTCATATACAGCCTGTCTCCTGATTGATAAATTGCTTGCTTGCATCTTTGACTTCTTAACTGCTCTAAAAGCAAGCTAAGACTTTAGAGGTATTTCCTTCTGCAGGTGTTCTAAAACAATGGAAAAAACCTCTCATCCAGAGGAGGGGGATTTCCTTTGTAATATGCTTGGAAGCTTTAGTGACAGTTCGGGACAGATGTATTCATATACATATGAATATTTTGCCCCATTTTCTGTTACCTCTCTGACATATATCTTCACTTCTACAAGAAAATGCCAAGAAATTCTTAGGAAACTGCCCAGAATTTAGTAGCAGAGGTTCACTTACCTGATTCCTGTTGACAAATCTGAAAATGTAGCTCTAAAATTAAGACAACTCAACATCAGCACATACTAGAATGATCTGGACAATTTTGAAAACCCCAATTCCCAGGGTATACCCTTCAGTAATGAAATCAGAATGTCTATGGGTAGGACTCAGGCATCGCTAACTTTTAAGAACCCCCAATGTTCAGGAAATTTAGATGGCAAGCTTCACTACAAAAACCTGTGCTGAAGAATCTTTGTGTCCTCTATCTGCTGGCCTCATATTTTGGAAATTACTTGTTTCTTTGCAATCTTGTAGTTTAAGAAATTTTCTATCTGCTTTCACTTTAACTGAATTTTTAAAATCTCCAGAGTACTCCTAAGAGGTTGGTGGTGGTCTCTCACTGCTGTAGTTAACTAGCTTCACTGCTTCAGCAAAATCTCACAGCTCTTTGAAGGGTGAAGTCAGATTTGAAAAGGAGGGTTGGCTCTCTGTAGGGTGGGTTTCCCCTGCAATTCAGCTGCCTCATCTTCCTAGTTTCACACATTCTACCATTTGTGCTATTTTTACTGTTGATGTAATCTTCCTTCACTTTGTTAGCATCAGGTGTCCCAGCCTTTATTGTCTGCAAGCCAGTATGATTATAGAGTGTTAGAATTGGAAAAGACATATGAAAATATTCATTTATTATCCTTTGCTGATAGGGAAACTTTTTTCTTATTTCAATACCAACATCTAATCAACACGGAAGGAACCAGTGTGATGCAGTATGAATTGCTACCATTTTATTCCCCCAGACACTTTCACAAGTAGGTTCTTAACACTCACCATGTTTTTGAGGTTGGTGTCACTGTTAATGATTAAAAACTGAGAAAATAAGATCCTGAGATTCCTCCAATGGACCAGACCTGTGAGCTGAGCTGTGGGGTCCAGACTGAGTTCTGTCCCTGCACATACCCATGACACTGCTCTCTTCTCTCCCTTTACTATGAGGAGTAAACTCCCTTAAGTGTGATATTTTCTAAATGAGTCCTAAAGTAAATGGTCCCTGGAGAAGCTTGGTTGGCTCACTGTGTGTACTGAATGGATCTGGACATCACCATGAGCTCCACAGAGGAACTCTGCCTTCCGTTTCAACAGAAGTTTGGTTGCTGCTGTGCTTCATTTTGTCTGTGCATTAAATTAGAATAAGGAACTAGGCCAGGCTCTCAAAGAAAGGGCCCAGGGCTGCAGAGGGCAAACCATGCACGGAGTAGAAACAGCAAACTTCCCTGCCAAGGGCACCATAGCAGGGTGGTGTTTCTCTTCCTCCCTATAAAGCAGGCAGAGCAAACTGAATTCTACACTTCTACAATGATACGTTGTTTGCGTGAACCTGGTGTTTGTTTTTGTTGTTTTTGTTTTTAGTGTAAGCTTTTTTTTTTTTTAAGATGTTATTTATTTATTTATGAATACAAGTGCAAGCCAGAGGTGAGGGGCAGTGAGAGGAATCACCAGAGACAGAATGAGGAGCAGAACAGACAAATGGACAAAGTACACTGCTGAGGGAAGCAGTGGGGCGGGTCAGGAGAGGTCTGACACTTATGTGGATCACCTCAGGGGCTGGGGATCAAACTTACATTGAAGTGGCTGCTGCTGGCCTGCAGTGCTGCACTTTAACCCTTTGTGCCACCATGGAGGGACCAAACCTCCTGTTTTTGATACAGTGTGTTCTTTGAAATACAATTTAAACCTCACTTTTTTGTAGCTCTTCTTAGTTGAGGGTTGAGGTGAAATATCTTAACCACACACAGAACTAAGAACACACAAGGCCCTAAAGTTCAGCCTCTTCCTCAGAAAATGATCCATGTAAGGCATTTTGAATGCTATAAAATGGTAAACTAGTATTCTTCACATTCCACCTATTGAAGTGTTTCTTTTGAATGGTTTACTTGTCTTTTATGGTGAGGCTTTCATATCCACACTGAACAAGCTTCTCCATCATTTCTGGGCTTTTTTTTTTTTTAATTTTTTTTAACAGTTTATTTTTATATCATTTTGTACATTTTTTTTTTCCATCTCAGTTGTAATCCCCACGGATTTCCCATCACCAAGTCACCCGTGTGCCATCACCATAATCCCATGCACTTCCCTCCCCACCCCTCCATTTTGATCCCATTCCCCACTCCACCCCCACAAAATGTCTCTGGTATATGGTTGTTCATTATTCTTGTTATTTTCTCACCTGGTCCATTATACTCCTGCTATGAGTGAAACCATCCGGTATTTTTCTTTCTCTTTCTGGCTTATCTCACTAAGCATGATCTTTTCCAGCTCCATCCAAGTTGCTGCAAAAGACATGTGTTTCTCTTTTTTGGTTGCTGAGTAATATTCCATTGTATATATGTACCACGTCTTTTTAATCCAGTCATCTACTTTTGGGTATTTGGGCTGCTTCCATGTTTTTCCAATTGTAAATAAAGCAGCAATAAACATGGGGTTGCAAGTATCTTTTTCAATCAGTGTTTTTGTGTCTTTTGGGTAGATACCTAGGAGTGGGACTGCTGGGTCGTAGGGAAACTCCATGTTTAGCAGTTTGAGGAACCTCCAAACAGTTTTCCATAGTGGTTGTACTAGTTTGCATTCCGACCAGCAGTGCAGGAGAGTACCTTTTTCTCCACATCCTCGCCAACATTTGTTGTTGCTAGTTGTTTGAAGATGTGCCATTCTCACTGAGGTGAGGTGGTATCTCATTGTGGTTTTAATTTGCATCTCCCTTATTACGAGTGATGTTGAACATTTTTTCATATGCTTGTTGGCCATCTGCATTTCCTCTTTGGAGAAGTGTCTTTTTAGCTCTTCTGCCCTATTTTTGATGGGGTTGTTTACTTTATTTTTGTTGAGTTTTATTAGTTCTCCGTATACATTTCTGGGCTTTTATAGTGAGAAAAGGGACAGGAGTAGTAGAAGACTAAGTGTAACTAAACTAACCAGGCCAATGTCTGTGTACATTTATGCAATTTTAGGAAATTATGTCAAATAAGTAACATAGTACATTAGTGATGACTAGGAGTTTTATTTAAAAAACAGTTGCATACCTCACAATACTGGACTCAACATTACAGAGATTTCATGAATGGGCTGCTGTAAAAAGATGCACTGTTCTATGAGGAACATATGTCTGCCTTCAATATGAAACAGAAATCAGCAGTGAATCATCTAAAATCCAAATAAGAAAACACAGAGATATATTTCTTCTGTACTAGAGGAGAGCTATTAGCTACACATCTGCTCCTTTTCTTTTTCAACAGCCTGATACCCAGACCTTACTCAGACCCCGGAAGATTATATCTTCATTATATTTTCATATTTGGATACTGGTGACTACTATATTATAAACCCTATTTTAATTTCTTCTCTTTTCCCTCTTTTAACTCTTTACTTTAGAACTGCAAATATTCCAGGATATACTGGTAAGGTTCATTGCACAGCTACTCACCCAGCAAATTCTGATATTCCCACAGCAACCCCATCCCCAGATTCAGAAGTGCACCGGTAAGTATGAATCTTGTTATATATTACATTCAGATATGTTGGGGATGGGAGAGGAGGGAATCCTCATAATTATTTCTTTCAAAAAACAGCTAAATACTTTGAGTAAATTTAGATTGTGATATACATATAGTCAAATAAAAAAATATTTTGTTTTCCCAATGAGTCAAATAAAAAAAAATATTTTGTTTCCCAATGATGTTTCCTAAAGGAGTATATAAATACCCTTAAAGTTTATTAGGTGAGCAGCATCTTTATCTCACAAACTTTGTGTACATATCATCCTTCGCATTATCATCAGACACATACTCTGCTTGGATGCATAGATCACATGAGACATGCACTAACCACTTTGTTTTTTATAAAAGACAAAATTCTATTGAAAGCCATTATGTATTTTTTAAGCACCGTTTTGCAAATCTAAAACAGGAGACATTAGAAAGAAGGGTATTGAAGATTTCATTATATGAAGTTGCTAGTAAGAAGCAGCACATTATTGCTCATTATAACTCAAATTTGAAAGCATTTGATGGAAGTCTTGGCCTTGCAAATAAGATGACACAATTTTGAAAATGAAAATGCTGACTTAACTAGGTCTACATGCTGGCCCAGTGCAAATAAATCAACTGTCCTAGTAAATTGGTGTGTAGGAGTGGTGGGCCAGAGGTGGGGTGTTGATGAGGATATGCTCCACAAAAGGGAGCCTTTCTCTTACCTCACATTCTCTTAGTCAAGAAGTCATTCATTTATCAAACATTGATGAGCCTGCCTCCCGCCCAGTCCTGTAAAGGATAGTGAGCACACAGTTGAACACAAAAGATTCTTCTGATGTGAAAAGAGAATAAAGAAGTACACAAGTAGCTATACAAGTAGATTATCTCTGGAAACTGCCCTAGGCTGTGGAGAAGCAAGTCAGTCCTAGCGGAAAACTCACGACTAGGGAGAACATTCTGAAGAGGTGCCCTTTGAGCTAAGTCAGAGCTCCTGCATGGATGGGCTTCTAAATGTTGCAAAAGACAGCAACTGTGGATTTTGGGGATGGGTTTCAATTCATACAGTTGGTCATTCTCTCATTCATTCATTAATTTGTTTAGTACTTCATATATTTTTTAATTGGGTCACCAAATGTGTGTTGTACTCCAGGAATTCAGAAAAAGTGGACACAACTTGTAAGGAGATCACAGTCTGTGAGAAAGAAAGAAACAACTATAGTAGTGGATGACAAATGTCATCATAATCCAATAAGTTCTCACTTAACATCATGGATAGTTTTGGGCAGAAGAAATAAAAAAGATACTGTTCCAAAGAAGAAATTCAAATGGCCAACAGGCGTATGAAAAAATGTTCAACAGCATTTGTAATCAGAAGAATGCAATTAAAAAACATAATCAGATACCACCTGACACCAGTGAGAATGACACATATATATATAAAAAAAAAAAAACTAGCAACAACAAATGTTGGCGAGGATGTGGAGAAAAAAAAAAAAAAACTTTCCTGTACTGCTGGTGAGAATGCAAACTGGTCCAACCATTATTGAGAGTTATGTGGAGGTTCCTCAAGCTACTAAAAAAGGAGCTTTCATAGGATCCAGCAATTCCACTCCTAGGAATATACCCAAGGGACACAATAATATTAATTCAAAGGGACACTGCACCACTATGTTTATTGCAGCACAATTTACCATAGGTAAGCAATGGAAGCAACCCAGATTCCCATAGAATAGATGACTATATCAGGAAGATGTGTTATATTTACACTATAGAATATTACTCAGTGATCGAAAAGGATAAATGTGGATGGAGATGGAAGAGATTATGCTCTGCAAAATAAGCCAGAAAATGTTTTTTTTTTTAAAAAAAAAAAAAGATTTATTAATTTGTGCCTATAGAACTAGGGTACAGGCCAGAGGGTCAGGGGTGGTGAGAGGCTTCACCAGAGACAGAGTAGGGAGCAGAACAGGCAGATCGATGAAGTACACTGCTGAAGGAAGCAGTGGGCGGGTCAGGAGTGGTCTGCCACACCATGTGGTCACCTCCAGGGCAGGCGGAAATTGAACTCATGTGGAAGGGGCTTCAGCTTCTTAGTGCTGTGCTTTAACCCGCTGCGCCACCAGGGAGGGCCCAGAAACTGGTTTTAATTTTTTAAAGATTTATTTATTTGTACATACAGAACTGGGGTACAGGCCAGAGGCTCAGGGGTGGCGAGAGGCTTCACCAGAGACAGAGTGGGGAGCAGAACAGGCAGATCAATGAAGTATACTGCTGAGGGGAGCAGTGGGCGGGCCAGGAGAGGTCTGCCACGCCATGTGGTCACCTCTGGGGCAGGCGGGAATCGAACTCATGCGGAAGTGGCTTTAGCTTCTTAGTGCTGTGCTTTAACCCGCTGCGCCACCAGGGAGGGCCCAGAAACTGGTTTTAATAAAAAAGTGGGTCCTTGGCCTCATATTGTCCAATATCATTGGGAGAATTTTTCCTCATCCATATTATAACAAAATTACTTTGAATGAAGTGACATTTCAGGGTGTACTATGGTCACATATGTTGGCCCAGTACTTCCTGTTTGAAATATACTAACTCATTCCCCTCCTGGTAACCCTACAAGGAAGGTACTGTTATCCACCTTTACAAATGAGGAAACTGAGGCACAAACAAGTTATTAGGGATCTTCACAGAGACACGAAAAAGGACCTCACAGAAGAAAGTATTCACAAAGGATGCTGAAGAAGCAGGATACTGGGCTTCACATATTTAAAAGCAGGGCTACATGTGGAGAGGGTTCTGCTAACCCAGGGGAGGCCACAGAAACTTCCCCTCATCATGACACCCTGGAGTCTCAGAAGGATGACTTTTAGGTCCCCTGTTGGTGTCTGTGTGCAGTGTACCCCAAGTCATTCTCCACGGGTGTGCATAAGGCTGTTCCAAAGACAACAGTTAGAAGGAAGAGCAAGTACCTGTTGACAAGGCTTTACTAACTTTAAAGATGGAATTTGATGAGTGTCTAGAATCTCAAGTCCACGTAATGAAAATATATTTTTTAGAAGGTCATCGATTGAGTAAGCCAATACTTTGCCCAGAATTTTTTGAGAAAAAAAAAAATTTTTTTTCTCTTAAGACACATCTTCATCTTCAAATGCCAAGGAAAAAAATACAGTTTCAAATACAGGACTAGTAATAGTAAAATTTTTATTTCCTGTGAAGGACCTGAGGAAACATTGTCAAAATTAGGTGTAACTTTAATAGCTGTCATTTAGATGCACTGTCCAGAAAGAGATAGGATGACACGTTGTGTCTGGCAGATGAGTGATTGAGAATGATCCTATTCATTGATGTTTCCTCAGTGCAGAGGAAACATTTGCAATGCCTCATTGTTCTCCCCTCAACCTACTCTCTCACCCGAATATCTCAGTTCTCATCGATGGTATTTGTGGATTTAGCATCTTTCCATGCCACATGAGTTAACTATCACAGTTTACTTCAGAGAAATCTTTATTTCTCGATGGCAAACTATCCTGCAATTATTACTAGTAGTAGTACTTTTACTAATGTTGCTACTACTTACTACTATTTGCTAAGGTTAGTACTGTTACTGCTTGAAAAAAAACAAAACTGAACCTCATAGCCAGCTTTCTGGTCACCCATACTCTCCTCTTTCTCTGCTACACACTCATCTTTTACACATAATGGGACCAGAAATCCTCTAGTGTTCTGATTCTTGGGGTGCACATGGGCTCCATAAATACAGATAGTGGCAGGAGCTCCAGTCATCCAAAGCTAAGTGAGAGCATTGTGTGGGTCTGGTGCCCACATTTCACTCCTACATTCATCTCTAACACCTGTTGATGACAAGGGGTCACTAGGGAGAAAGCACAGTAGGGAAAATTCATTGGCCAAAGTGTTTTGCTAGCAGGAAGGCAGTGAGTAGCCTCTGTCCTGGCCCTGTGCTGTAACCAGAGAAAATCAGGGCTTGGTGGATCTTCATCATGAAATATCACCTATGATTTTTTCTGACACTATGGTGGGAGAAATATATCAGATATTATGTATGTATGTATGTATGTATGTATGTATGTATGTATGTATGTATGTATGTATGGCCTAATGGTTTTCAGTGTATATATATGCATGCATGTATGTATGTATGGCCTAATGGTTTTCAGTAATAGGAATCTAAATCTCTGTCTGATGATTATCATGAAAACTCAGTAAGATAACCTGACTCCCTCCTGATAATGTCTATCTGACTCAATACAATCTTTCCAATTGTTTCTGAAACCTTATCTGCATATGGGTTTGTCCTGGACACTCCTGAACACTGGGCTTTGTGCACACCTACTGTGACTTCCCCCTGGGGCCCTAGCTGGACTTCCCCTCTCCTCTCCCAAGTCCTGCTCAGCAGACAGGTTCATTTTCTGCCACTGGACATCCAAACTGACTCTCTTCTTCCCCTCCCCCACACCAGGATCTATACCTTCATCAATACTTCTGTGTCTTCTTTCTTGGAAAAAAATGAATTTTTACTATTCTAAACTGTGCCCATACTTCCCTCTGAAATCTTGACTCTCTCCGTCTTCCTGCTTTCTGTGAAGAAGCCCAGCCAAGTTTTCCTATGGCCGAGTCAAACTTGGTTCCCACTGAGCTGCCATCCTGTTTCTCCCCTTCCTTCAACTATAAATGTCTTTCAAAAACAGACTACCATACTTACCTGTCAGGGGAGAAACCATGATCACGAAGGTGATTTACCCAGGGCGAGGCTTATCCATCGCACTCCAGATGTGCTGACCCCTGTGATATTCCCCAAGTGGGGGAAACTTGACTGCCTAATTTGTGGTAGTGGGGGACTGCATTCACATTCTCCCCTATTAAAAAAAAATCAAAAAACAGACTGCCATTCTTTCTTCCTTCCTGATTCTACATCCTCCCAGTCCATTCTAATCACTGAATACTGCTACCACCAAACACAGGAAACACTGATGCCTGCAAGACCATGTAAGACACCTCTGGAGCCATTCATGTAGAGGACAAGATGTATATTTAGTGAAGGTCTTGGGTGACAGTCTGCAGTGTTGGTTTCAGGTTGAGTCATGTAGGCTTCAAATATAGATGCCAAAATGTTGGTGCTGTATAGCCCATAATATATTTTGACTGCCATGTGCAAAACCTTACTGTCTTGGTGTTGATATTCAAATAAACTGTAGAATAAGGAAAGAGGTTTTCAGAAGAGATTTTAAGGAGAGAAAGTGTAAGTGCAGGTGATAGATGGTATAGCATAAATTTCTGAATTTATAATGACTCACTAGAGGTAACTCACTCTACTCCTGCCTCCATTCCAGTGGAATACCAGTGTTCTGCATACCCCTTCCACCAGAATGCAACCTTCACTGAAACCTGAGTTCTCACCTCCATGGCCATTTCCTACAAAATAAAATAAAATGATTACTTCATGATCATCATAGCATGAAATCAAAGGCATTTTGGATCTGGTCGCACTGTGCTCTGTAGTGCACAGATGACTTGCATTCTCTATGACTGATTCAAACAGCAGAAGATTTACAGCAAAGTTGTTGCAGGCAGTCGTGGGTTCAATAGAGTAGGCAAGGTATGCCCAAGACCACCTTAGGGCATAAACAAGGCTGGGAAAGATCATTTTTATAGTCATCCACATTCTCACTGTGATTTTCTTTTAATTCTCACAACAAGCTTGGAACGTTATTATTCTCACTGGTAGATGAGCAGACTGAGACATGTGAGGTTAAGAGCAGTCAGCTTAACCCCTCCGGAACAGGGTGAAATTGCTCTCAGTACTGCACGTGGCTGGGCTACCCTACATGCTCCATGTATTGTCATCTCCCTGTTCCCACCCACCCCCACATACACCCCGTACTTCCTTTATCCTGTTTCTCTTTGTCTTCACCTTTGCTGAACTCCTCCCTGATACAGATTCCTGGTAGATCTCCATTCCAGATCCTGAGAGATGGACTCCCTCAGACCCTCAGCATAACTCAGACTATTTTTAGCTGCCACTGATAAATTCACCTCCTTTCATCTGCATTTTCTATAGTCCAGGTACAGAGTAGATACTCAATGAAAACAACTGCAATATAGTGCATTAATGCAATAAGTGTAACTGAATGCAAATGAATGAAACAATACACACAAGATGAATCATGACCAGTTCCTCTCTGTTTCTGTTACATGCTTCTCTCTCTCTCCCCCACACCCTCCATCTCCTCCTTCCCACCCTCTGCCATCCCTCCATATATACACATGTATTATTAATAGGGGCCTGGATAAGACTAAATGTTTCTATGTTATTTTTACTTTTATTTTTATAGCATCATTCGGAAAGAAATGGAAGTTGACCTCTTCTGTCATCAGGCACCTCTGTCTCAAATGGTCACAACTGTAAGACCTTACAATCCTTTCAATAAGAAAGAAAAAGAAACTATAATCTACTGAAAAAGAAGAACTCCTTCATTGACATACACTTCAGCTTCAGGGAAGGCATTATGGAAGATACAATGGGAAATAAAAAATCCAGGCATCTTTGAGTGTGTCTGTAGATTTGGGATGATAAAGAGTTTCCAGAGTCCTGCTTCAGCCCTCATGTCCTCTCCCAGAATGCCCCATTCCATAATGGCCACCAAGACTTTCTGAAAGTTACCAGCAACAGCAGTTTATTTTAATATACCCCTTCTTAGAGTTGGAGTGCCAGATCTACCTAGAAGTTTCATGTCTTGGCCTCCTTAATTCAATTATTATAACTGTGAAGCACAGATCACAGAACTCATGATCACAGATTATCAGGTCAAAACCCACATGTTGTTGTTACTAGAAAAGTTGAGGGGCTTAAAGAAAGCAGCATTGTTCTTTTAACCTGGGGCACACCATGAAATAACTTTTATTGTAAATGGCCTTCCTGGATCCAGTATTTCTTTTTTCAGACATAGAAACACCCCCTATTCTCCATGAGTGTCATCAGCCTGGAACAAACATTCATATCTAACTTAGAGTCAATGTGTGACCTGTTTACGTCTCACCACTTAAAACACCAGCTTGCAAAATTACTCAAATGTATATGTAGGCTGTGGGGGATCCCTCAACCTCCCAGATATTGTTATATTGGTAGACACATAAAATTTATATGTCTATACAGATATTATAGTTCCTGAGTTTATAAAGTGTTTTCCTTAACCTCAGCTAAGTTGAACCTACAATCCTATAGCAGATGTCTTGTTAATATTTTTCTATTTTATAAACAGGCAGAACAAGGCTAGGAGAATAAAGTACCTCTAGTCACTCAACTAGTAATTAGGAAAGTTAGAACTAAAACTCAATTTCATATATATATATATATATTTTTTTTAAATTTCACTTTATATATATATGTATATGTGTGTGTGTTTATATACATATATATATATATATATATATATATACACTTAAGATTTATTTATTTATGCATACAGAACTCGGGTAAAGGCCAGAGGTGATGAGGTGGTGTAGGGGCAGTGAGAGGCTTCACCAGAGACAGAGTTGGGGGCAAAACAGGCAGATGGATGAAGTATACTGCTGAGGGGAGCAGCAGGCGGGCCAGGAGAGGTCTGCTGTGCCATGTGGATCACCTCCCAGGTGAGGGATTAAACTTACACTGAAGCAGCTGCAGCCAGCTTGCAGTGTTTCACTTTAACCCCCTGCTCCACCAAGGAGGGCCCCAATTTCATATTTTGATATTGTACCTCCCATGACTCCACAGAATGAATAACTTTTACTGAATTATTCAAAAAGGAAACAAACAGAAATAGGAAAAAAGAAAAACCCTTCTCTGTTGAAAAGTCTTTGTTCTAGACTTTTCAAAAACATTTCTTAGATCTTCTACCTCATTTATTCTCCCAAGAGATGCAGAATGAGGTAGTGAAACCCAAGAACCCCAAGCCAATGTGTAAATCCTTTGGAGGTAATTTTTGTTAATAGGAAAGAATGAGGGGTATCCCAGACCCCCAAACCTTCTGCTTAAATAGTTTCTGCTCTCCACTGCATAAAGACAAACATACTTTTAATGCATACCACCTTCAATAGAAAAGGATTTGAATAAAATTAGTGTGTAATAAAGAAAAGAGAAAGACTGAATAATTTCCAATTAAACAACCCAAATTACCCATCTCCTCATGGGTAAATGCCCAGTTAAACAGGGTTGGCCCAAAGCAGGACCTCTGAGGCCCAAAAGTTTGCCACAAGTCTAAGGTACCTTCTGGTGGGAAGCCACAGGAAGTGAGCAGAAGAGGCCAGGCAAGTCTGGAAGGAGAAAAAGAAATCAAAACCCAAGTCAAGATAAACGTTGCCACTGCCAACCCCCTCACAAGCTTCTCACCCACATCTCTATCTTTTTCAAGTATCTACTTCCATGTCCTCCAAATCCCTGCTACAAGCCCAAGATTGAGAAGCAAGAGCAACTTCTTCACATGTCCCTCTGCTCCATGTATCTTCTGTAGTCTTTTTCTTTCCTTCTCCCAGTCTTCTCTAGCTTCTCCCTACCCAACTCTATCCTTCCTTGGGTGAGGGCAGGAAACCTGGAACCACCTCTTTCTTTGGCTAACACCTGTCACATTTTTACCCTGTTCATCCCTTTGAAAGGGAAATCTAATCTATTTTGTTTTGGAATTGAAACTGGAGCCCTGCAGAGCTGGGCAAGACTGGCTCTTCTTTGCTGCTAGTTCAACAGAGGGCACTGTTGGAAAAGTGGTGGTGGTTTTCCACCTGCACCAGAGTGGCTGTCTGTTGGCAGCCCTTTCTCTAGTACCTGCCCCAGAGTGCTGCTTTGGGCAGTGAAAGTAGCAGCCGGTGGTGGGTGTTTCACTATCTGCCACCAGTGGCCCACCAGGGCTCAGGTTGCAGGCAGAGGCCAGCAGTGATGGTGGATGGCAGTGGTTTCCCTACTACGCTGCCTCAGGGCATGCAGTGGGGGATCAGGGCTGCCAGAGGGGAATGGGACCCCACTGGGCCAGCTCAACACCATGGCTCACTCCAGCTGAAGGCAGTGGAGAGGCCCACAGAGACCAGGCCAAGACCACCTTGCAGTGCTGTTGCAAGTTCCCTGTAATTTACACTGTTGTAATTGGTGCTTGGATCATAGAATGGACCACTCTAAATGTGAGCTTGGAGCAGATTGGTGTGATCAATCAGCCATTGGATTGAACATGGTGAACCCTGAAAGAGGATGTAAGGCAGGGCAGAAGCCAGTTTGGGAGAGACACTGTTCCTGGCCTCTGAGGAAAGAATAAAGATTCCGCTTCAGTATTCCAGAGAAGAAAGAAGCATCTGGCTTTGCAGAGACAGGGGGCTGTATCTCCCTCTGGCCTTGCCTCTGACATCACCTGAAAGGAGCACCAAAGGCCGTGGGCCTGGTGTCTCGGAGCGGTTTGCTGGTAGTGTGGGCCAACAATTCAAAAAGGACATTAACACCAATGCTGCTGACCCTGGTGACTGGTACTGCCTAGCACTGTTGATGTTGGTTCACTTTTGGGAGCTGTTCACGTCTGGAAGCATGAGAGGTGCTGATCTTCTGGAACAGCCTCCTACTCTGGCCTGCATTGTTGTCCGGCTCAGCATCTGTGTGGTCCATCCCAACTTTCTGGCTGGTGCCCACCTGGAAGCACCTCCAGTAAGATGAGTTAGATCCCTGCTTGCTGCTTGTTGGTGTGCCACAGCTCCAGGCCCTCACAGATGGGACAGCATCACCTTAAACAAACAATCTTTTACTTCGGACCTTTGGATACTGGACACTATCTGGGGTGAGACAGTTTGCCTCTTGTGGTCTCAGAAACAACATTGTTGTTACTCCCTGAAACTCAGTAATCTTGCACTTTTGCATGTGGGTGAAAACTTGCCCTCTACCTGGTCACGGTCCTTTTGAAAGTATAGCACCCTACTATCATACCTCTATAGCTCTGTTTCATATCAAATGCTTCCTCAGTGGACATCCACAAACTAGGATGTTGGCCCTGTGTGGCACCATTCTGTCGAGACCAACGGGAAGGCAGGTAGCCATCCATGCAGAGAAATGACTTCATCTGAATGCCATATTTTGTCTAGTTATATTAATATAAAGCAATTACAGAAAGCAAAAGAAAAATGAGGCAAAACAATCTCACCTCTGGAAAGTTCTCATCCTATCACAAGTAGAAGGTTTAACCCTGACCAGGTAGTAGATTATTGAAAGTATCTATGATGACATTTTGTAGTAAACACCCCTGGCAGACTATTTTGTCAGGAGGCATTGCTGTTAAAATATGAGACAGCTGTTTATCATTCTGGACCTTTCTCTAGTAGGATATCAAGTATACTTTTCAATCTTACCTCCTGAAGTTAGAAGAAGTTATTTTAATCCTCTACAGTGCAATACCTGGACACCTTCCAGAGCCCTGGGTATCTCTAAAGCTGCTTCTAGAAGGATCCCTGGCTGCATCCTGAAGATGTGATATATAAACAAAGGTATATTACTCAGTGTTAAATATACACTCTTGCCATTTGGACTGACATGGATGGAGCTGGAAGGGATCATGATCAGTGAAACAATTCAAAAGAAGACAGTACTTCCACTCGTATGGTGAATATAAAGAAAGACAATGTTTTCACTCATATGTTGAATATAAAGAAACAAAAAAAAGTAATTATAATAAAGTAAAAATTAAAATCACCAGGCAACTTAGGATAAGAGACATTCTGTAGGGGAGGAGGAGAAAGAAGGACCAGGACAGGGGTGGGAAGAGCACAAGGGACTATGATGATGGCGCATGGGGGAGTTGGGGATGGGAATTTCACAGAGAAACCATACATTGTACAAAAATGAAGGATGGTGTAATGAATATATTTTTAAAAATTTTAAAAATTATCTTGTAACATAATACCAAAAAAAAGAAAGAAAGAAAACAAAGTGTTAGTAAAACCAAATCAATAACAAGACAGAAAACTTTTGGTAAAATTAAAGCTATCAAGGGGTGTTGGGGAGAGGGGCAAGCAATATGGGGTGAGGAACCCAAAAGACTATGTTGAAGAACTATGGGTGCCTTAGTGGTGGGCATGTCTGGTGACATATATCTGAAGGTGTGTGATCCTATAACTGAATCACATATACTGCTATAAAATAAATTTTTCAATAAAAATTTTCAAATGTTAAATCAAACAAAATAAAATGCAATTCCTGCATATCTAGTACCCAAAGCCCACATATCCAACGTTCTGAGCTCTTATTCTTGAATTCAGTTGTATTGCTTGGGCTTCCATGATTAGTAGTCCAACTGAAAGTCGTGAATATCAAGTAAATAGCTCAGGTGCATGCACCTGCCTGCCAGGCTAATCCCTTGGGTACAGAACATCTAGTAGGTGCACAAAATTTTTGGATAAAGGGCAAATGTTCTGGTAACAGTTTTCAAGATTTTTGTGCTTTGTATCACGATAAG